CTCAATTATTTCTCGAGAAATGTAGTTAGATATTACATGATTGAGACATGTAGAACGAGATTTTATTAATTTTTTTCCGAGTTGGCTACACAGTTCCGGTCAGTAATTCATCTCTTATGGTAAAGGGTTGGGACAGCCTTTACGACTCACCCTGTATATGTCGATGGGAAGAACCAATGAACAATTTGTCCCAAAAATCGGTTACATGCGCAATGTTTCACCTTGTGTCTTTACACCATGCGCTGGAGTAGCGTTCTCCTGGATATACGGATTACGCGCGCACGGAGAGTGAAAATCTTATGGACGTGACGAACGTGCCGACGGGACAACGGAATAAGCGCCGTGGACCGGAGCAAGGCGGGGCGCCGTGTTCTCGCGGTTTTTGCACACCGTGCTCTTCCGTGTGCAGGACGACCGGGCGCGCACGTACGTGGACGTGGAAACCGCGTACATAAAAACTGTCGACTCATCTGGACTCGAGCGCGACGTAAATAGGAGGAAAAAGAAGAAATGGGGAAAAAATACGCGTGGACAAAACGGCATTGTTCCGCGCCGTTGTTCTGATTAGATGCTCAACGTAATGAACGTAAAGGACGTAGGTACATATTAATTTGTATCTCCGTACACGGGTTTTTTCAAGCAGCCTGCACTTAATTTATTGCTGAATATTAGTTTGCCGGACAATGTAGTGAAAATATTAAAAGTGAGCGGCTTTGTCTCTCTAAAGGCCTGTGTCCACTTGGTCCAAGTTCCACTTTCGAGAAATGTGTGGCCAATCAACCTGCAGCTATTCCATACAAGCTGCAAGTTGATTGGCTACACATTTCTCTGACCAAGTTGAAAGAAACAGAGCTACTCACTTTTAGCATTTTCACTATAATATACGATGTAAAATTGGCTCCCTGGTTTACGTTCCAGAACATTTTCTTTGAGGAAAATTTTACTTGAAAGATAGATCGGAAATGCACGAAATGCTTTCGGAATGGCCGTCGAGTAAGAACATTCCTCGGAGAAGAAGATTTTGGAACTCTGGCTCTAAACGCACGTTCGTAAACGCATTAAAATACAGGAATAAGTGTCGCAACCCCATTCTATCCGTCGCTGTACCGCGATGTTAATTTCGCCCACGTTCATTTTTATTTCTTTCTCCGTGCAAAGCCCCGAATTCTGCCCGACCTCCGATGATCGATGGCAAGCCCGGCACCGCCTGCTCATTAACCCTCCCGCGCACGTATTATATTCGACAAGAAACAAGTACAAAATCGTCAGCTTTCGCGCGTCAGCCTGGAATAGCCAGGGCGCCGCACGTTATTTAACGTTGAAAGCGCCGACGTGATCTCGACCGATAGAAAAAAGATCGGTTACTTTGTCACCCTCCCGTTTGGAGAGGACGCGCGTAACGGGCGGCAATCTGCGGTACCGCGCTTTGTTCTTTGCTCCTTTGGCTCCGAGACCCGAGCTATTCCTCTGCTTCACGTCGCTCCGGCTCGCGCCGTCCCGCGCGCAGTATCCACGGACTTGTCCCCGATCTCTATGCGCGATTCGCGTCTCGGCGAGCGATGCGCGGGAGCGCAAGATATCCGGTTTAGCACGTGGCCTCGGCTCGGCGCGGAGGTCAGCGGAATTACTTTTGCCTCGTGGATGCTAAATTGGAAACGGTTCGCAATTGAAGCGGCTCGTAATTAAAACTCGCCGGCGGAAGTGGTTAACCTTTTGCAAAGAAACTTGAGATGCGCGGCACGCGAAACGATCCGGAACACTCGACACAGAGCTTCCGCAATGGGCGCACGGGTAAGTGACTTCAAAGGCTATCGTCTGCATATTTTAACATAGCAAATGGATCAGTATTGTGCTCCGCGCTCCGGAGGACCGAATGGCCGTGCGCGAAAACACCGGGCGAGGCTCGCGTGTAATTTTCCAGAAATTTCGTCGGGGAATTTGGAAACGTCCGCGCGCTTGATAACGATATTAATAGTTATCTCTTTACTTGATTGCCGCGCGTCCCCATCGTAACGTTGCAATGCTCGCGAAATAACGTTTTAAATTTCGAGAATTTGATTAGCCCCTTTATTTTTCGCCCCTCGAGCGATTTAATTCGAAATAATAATAATAAAAAAAAGCCACCCCGTGCTGTTGCATTTATATGCGTCTGAAACAAAAACAACGCGATTAAATTTGCGATTGAAGAACAAAACGCGCCCGATGCATTTATACTTAATTTTTGTGTACACATTGCGGCCTGCGCTTATTGTATGTTTTTTTCTAGACAAAAAGGCAAAATTACCGTTTACGGTGGCGACCTTACTTACGCCCGATATTAAGATATCAGAAACGAAATTGAACCTTGAAATAACGTTTATTTTTAAGATGTTGAAATCAAGCTAGTGTCCCGCGAAGCATCTTCCTTTGAGTCTTCTTTTTCTTCGAAGTCTCTTGGTCTCGAAACAGTCTATTTTCAACGGCATCAACACTTCATAAGATAGCAATATAATGGCGTTGTAGACAAATTTCATATTTTGCGATATCATCGGGGATTCCTACTCTACAAGCGATCAGGCTTTACGCCTTCGCACCAACGTACGATTCTCTTCGCACAGCTGCCCATTTTCCGGTTCGTTCCGAAATTGGATGCCGAACAAGGAGCCAACAGGGACCAGTTCGCTCTGCTTCGATCCGATATGATCGCGAGAAAGTTTTGTATGAAACAGGAGGAGGATGAGGTGGAAGAGACGTGGGTTCTGCGTTTCTTGCACACGGATGCCAAGCGATCTTGTTTTTTAGATGACGTTACAATTTTACTATTTAGAATACGCGTTCACGTTGATCAAGAGCAGACATTATTTACACCCGAGAATATACAGGGTGTCTGACGCAAGAGTACCCCTACGAAACACGGTGGTAGATTGGGTCAGACTAAGAAGAAAAGTCATGTACCATTTTGCAAAATTCGCAATAGTTATCGAATAATGCAGTGCTCGGAGTTGGCTGCACATCTCGGGCAGATTTCGTAGGCGACGCCTACTGTCCCCCCACTACGGTCAACATCGTTCGAAGCTCGACGGCCGAGCCGATCGCGCGTGAGGCCCAGCGTAATGACCGTAGTGGGGGGGACAGTGGGCGTCGTCTACGAAATCTGCCCGAAATGTGCAAGTGGCGACGACATAATGCCATCTTCATTGAGGCTCAAAACTCTTCAACCCACCCTCGTATATTACATAAAGTACATGTACCCCTTTTCTAAGCAACCAAATGAAAGTATCGGCAGCCAATGCAACAATAGTAGACAGCAATGATAATAATAAGAGAATCAGCCCTGACTTCGCTAGTCGGCTGGCCAGACGGCGGAGTCGTGAGCGCAATGGGAAACCGAGAGGACTTAAAATCTCGCCTGGAAAAGCCCTGTCTGGCATTTAACATCGCCGTAGGTCACGGGGCCGAGTACACCTTGGTAGCAGTTTGCGCACGTTTCGCGTCTAAGAGACGTATAAGTATCGGCTTTGTGGGGGACGGATGCCACGGCGGAATTCCGCTGCGGAACGCCGGTCGACGTTCAGCAACACCGGGATGACGCCCCGCGTGCGTGTCCTGCTGCTAAGTAGTCGCGCAGAGACCGAGTCGCGCCCGAGGGGAGCTTCGCCGATTTACAGGGCTGTTGGCCTTTCCGCGGATTGCTATGGTTGCCGAGACGACGTTATACACGTTGGGTTCCCGCGGTAGTAAAAGCGGCGACTGTAAAGGCGGTTGTAAGACCATACACGACCTCGGATCTCGAGAGACGCGCGGTTAAAGTCGAGATATCAGTCAGCGAATTCTTATTCTTCCGGGTGTCCTCGCGGAGGGACAGAAGCGAGATCGTTTTGCTGAACGACATCGTTTAACGACAAACCGTTGGTTATTTCATTAGCAGGCACCTTCGTTTCATTTTATTTCCATGCGCCTTAATACGTGACTACTTCATTACGAGCTAGTTTCGTGACACTGCGATTAACGTCTATAAAAATCGCGGAGAAAAGAAAGTGTTTTATTGTTTAAAATAAAATCCCACTTTCTCATATTCTTTCCTTGTGTTTTGTTACAAAAGTTCTTATTAATCTTTTCTTTTTTTTTAAGAAAATTATTTTTTCAGTCCCGATAGAATCGTGAATCATAACAATTTGACTTCAATTCAACTTTAATTTGGGGACGCGAGATGCGACTGTTCATCGTGAATCGGTACTGAAGTTCGGTACATTCCGAATTATTGAGTTTAAGTATTTAAATTAATTAATAAAAATTAAATTATTACGCGAATTCCGTTAATTTATTAATATAATTTGTGATAAAAATACATGATATATTTAACTAATTACGATAATGAAAGTAATAACTTGCGCGCAATATGTTACACGATACAGAAGACGTAAATAGAATATGAAACGACTGAGCGCGTAATTATTTCTCAAGTTAATTAAACAAACCCTCACGGAGAGTGACTGCTACAGGAGGATTTCTTTTGAGCTACGAAAAGAAATTTGAAAACATAGAGGCAAGTCCCCTATTGTGAGATAGGCTTCTAATATGGGATAGCAGCATTTCCTTGCAAAATTAATCCCGTGCAATGTTATTTAAAATTTTAGAATCGAGCGAATAAAATGAAAATCAACGTGCAATTGATCTCTTCAATATTGACAGAACATTCCGTAGCGTGCGAATATGGCCTGTGTGAAATATCTCGTTTGGAAAATTGTGAAAAGTCGGCAATAGCTGTAAATCAACGGTGTAACGCGAATATCTCTATTTTTATACTCATGTCGACTAATTGCTGATACATCAGAGAGAAGGAAGGAGAGAGTGCTTTCTCACACAATTGTGCTAAACGTTTCAAAATTTATCGTAATTATCGGGCTATTGTTGGACTTTGTATCGTCATAATTGTGATCGTCTCAAAGAAAGCTTTAGAAATTTTTACGTCAAACCGTTGGATATTTAATTAACAGGTACCCTTTTTATTTATTTTCCAGGTGTCTTACTGACGGCTGATTATGAGGCTACTACATTACGAGGTATTTTTATAACACTGTCAAAATGACGAAAGACAAAGAACTCTCTAAAAGTCAATCAGTGGATTATCACTGAAAGCAGTGAGTAGTCACTGATTTACAGTTGTAAGTATACTGCGATTTTCAGGGCTATACTTAGAAATGCAAATCAGTGACTATACACCGCTTTCAGTGATAACCCGCTGATTGATTTTTAAAGAGAAAGTATTTCAACGAGGGATAAACCGCTGACCAAAGTCACGTACATACACCAATGCCTACTAATGCTCAGTGGGCATTACTTTATCTTATTTTCTTATTTATCTTGTTTTATCTTTATAATTAAGCAAGGCTTATGCCCAAACTAATGCCAAAAAATGCCTACTCTCTAAAAGTCAATCAGTGAATTATTACTGCAAACAGTGAGTAGTCGCTGCTTTACAATTATAAGTATATCCCCCACTGCCATTTTCAGTGGTATACTTACAACCGCAAATCAGTGACTATTGGCTGTTTTCAGCGATAATTCACCGATTGACTTTTAAAGTAGTAGTAATGTCCAAAAAGTACTTGGCAATGCCGCAAATCTTGTGTCTACACTACAATGCCCACAGCGGTTTACCCCTCGTATTTCGACGTCCAAAATTAAAGACTCGTCGTCGGCGTCGGCGTCGCGCCGTGAAGCATCGCGCGCACGTCGATCAGATTTTCGCAGTAGTAAAACCGTAGCGATGGTCGAACACGGGCGTATCCGTTGATACGAGGACACTACTGTCGAGGAGCGAACGTTAGTCGCGTCGCCGTCCCCGCGCGCGTCGCTGAACGTACAATACGAATTTATGGCGGACCATAAATAAGGGCCCGCGGATATGAGACACTCGATACTTGAGAATTTCGTCGATCGATGGCACACGGCGTTTGAATGGCGCCTTGTGCCCCGAAACACGTTTCCAGGAAAGAAACTACACTCGGCCGTCAAACGAAGACAACGCGTACTCGCGGACGACGCGCCCGTAGATGTTGTTAAAGTTTCAGACACGTGAGATTCTTCGTAATCTTGCGTCTAACTGACGCATAAAATTTTCGTGCCGAGCCATCGTGCCGACGCGCGTCTGCTGGAAGCAGAAGTTAATGGAAGTTAATTTGCATTTTGATTACAATTTGAATTGTAATTTGCAAAAATATTTGTAAGCCGAGAATATTCTTCAGCTGAAAACACGCAAACTGTTTTTCATCCTTAATATAATTTTGCGTGTATCCAAATTTTTCGTAGAATATTACAGTATAAATATTTCATACCATGGAAATCGAGGTGTAATAAATACATTAAATAAATACATAAAATAAATATTAAATGCAAACTCGTGTTAAACTAACGGAAAGAGTAGACTTTCTAGTTTACGTTTCGATTTCCCGATCCGAATCGTTTGTCTCTCACTGGAAAAAGGTATCGGTCTCTTTTTGTAGATACATCATCCGTTGGCGCGTCAAGTCCATAAATATTTCGCCGCTCGTACGTCAATTGGTCGAAATTTATTGCGATACGTATGCAAATAATAGATTTGCAGAAAAATCGCGTTTGCCTATTGACATGCGGAGTTGCCTGCAGAGTTTTTTGTATGTTGACCCTGAGGAGCGCGGCTCCTCGAATAGACCAGCTTCCATCCAGCTCGAAATTGCTTGTTCTAGCGGCGGTGCAATAGAGAGGTGGAATAAATTGTTCTCGCGCTCGCGATAACTTCGGCGAGAATCATTATCGATTATAATAATGCGTCGGATAATAAGGATAAGGATAAAAGCGCGCGGTTAGATGGCAGATGCAACGATCCGAAAATAATTGGTAGAATGAGTTTCGGGACGAAGGACTGTGATTATCCGCTTGTGTTCCGTCCCGCCCGCCATTAATGCGCAACTAATATTGTCGCATTTCCGCGACGTATATACAATGTACATATATAATATATAAATCTGCTCTTAATAATAGTTTGATAAATGTATAGTAAGCCCCGCAATTGATGTATCTCTTAATAGTTTATCGGGATATAAATGCAGTAAACCCTGTAATTGGTGTATCCATTATTTCTGGCAGAAATTCATCAAAATGTCTCCACGCATACGCGGAACGGAATAATTAAATAGCGCGACGATCGTAATATGAGTAATCAGCGTGAGCAATGATTTATCAACTATTCGATCACTCGATTATTATGCAGGACTTGGATGTGGCGTAAACGGCACTCGTTGGGCGAGTTGTCGAGAAAATCACCGTTTTAAAGAAGCGAAGGAGGACCTTGAACATATTTACGTACGCTCATTCGTACACGGAGAGAATTTTCTCTTGAAATTTCCGAAAATCGTGCAATTGTGTGGCCACGCGGCATTTCGAAGAACTTGACGAGAGTTTTTGGAAATTTTACCATACATTTTACTAGTAAACTGTGTACTAAATATCCCTAGTAGCACAATACTGCTGTCCTAACCTAAAAAGCAGTATCTCCATTTCTCACTTTCTATGTTTCTTAGAGAAATATCCGTTGTCCTACGAGGCTAAAGAACAGTAAGAGCACTAGATTAACATAAAATAACTTATACACGTTGTGTCCACCTGTTATACGCATATTTCTCTAAGAAACATGGACAGTGAGTGAACTACAATGGCCAAAAAATGGAGATACTGCTTTCTAGGTTAGGACGGCAGAATATATCGGCGTAATATTGGGAAATAATGTAAATCCAGTATTCCCAATATTGGTACAGTATTGTAAAGCGGACGCCTTCTCTTATTTAGCCAATACGTTTATTTAGCAATATTAGCCTAATATTGCATCAATACTAGACCCAATATTCTTATTACGTTGTTAAATATTGGCCAATGCACATTCCAATATAAATCTAATATTATATAATTGTTATCGTGCAATATTTACATTTACTAGGGACAATATCGGCCAAGATATTTCTAATGTAACCAACATTAGACCCATATTTAGCCAATGTTTAGCGAATGCACTCTGCGAGGGATAATTACTAGTAAAATGTACGGTAACATTTGAAAAAGCTCTCATAAAGTTCTTCAAAATGCCAAGTTGTCACACGATTACATAATTTTCAGGGAAAATTTTCTGGAAACCCTCATAAAATTCTCCAAAATGCCAAATCGTCTCACGATTATATGGTCTTGAGGATAAATTTTAAGAGAAAATTCTCTCCGTGTATGTAAACCCGAGGAGTGAAAATTGCTCGGCGAACTGAGTCTCGCACGCCAATTTTGCGCGGACGAGCGTGCGGGCGTGTTCAAAGGAAATTAAATAAATATGCGCGAAAGGAAACTGCGCAGTTCTCTTTGGACCCCGGTTAGACGGTGTTGTCTTATATAATTCGGTTTATTATCCACGCGTACTGAAGGCGATCGTCACGTTCTCGGTGATGCATTCTCGTTTTTCTTACGTAGCAGCCTGTTAAGCGTAGGAATACATTGCGACCCATTGTAAAAACGACGGTGGCAACGTCCGGGATCGATGGGGCACCATATGCGGTATCGGTTCAATTTGCGACACGCTCGGCACCACGCGTCGGTGTGTATGAAATCAATGTCGAATTTCATATACATGGAAATGTACGGTATCGCGCCCGCCGAATTAATTTCTTCGTAACAGAAAAGCACCGATTTTCCCCCTTACGGCGCGCGCGAAAAGAAACGCCGCGGCGGAGACCGGTTGGATTTTACATCAGTTACATTCATTCGCAAATCCTTTTATCCCGCGAAATGAGAAGCATGACTTATGTACCACTATACCACCCGTTCAACGTCTCGTACATGAATAATTTGATCCTGCCATAAAACTCTTTGTCTGCTCGAAAATTCACGTGAATCACACGGAACGTAACTTACATACGGAAAAGAGACAGAGGGGGAGAGAGGGGGATGAAGAAAAAGACAGCGGACAAACTTAAATCGACGCGCTCCAGGAGAGACAGAGAGAGAAAGAAACAGGGAGAGAGAGAGAGAGAGAGAGAGAGAGAGAGAGAGAGATAGAGAGAGAAAGAAGAGTGGAAAGTTTCCTCCTGCGCTGTCTTTACTACTGAAATCAACTCTCTCGAGTTCGTCACCGAGGTGAAGGCGGGCGTTATCGAGATGAACGAACGTACAAGGACAAACAGTCTGAACGGGGGCAGCTAAATTTGACTCTGTCCGCTGAATGATGAAATGTAAAAAAGAGAGAGAGAGAGAAAGAGAGAGAGAAAGAAAAAAGAAAACACTGAATGAGGCGGGATGGGTCCGGCAATAAGGTCATTCCGCTTCGGTTCATACCGATTGCTCCTCTATTCACTCCGATATTAACTGCTGAACCCATTTCTATTTTTCTCCCCCGTCCCCGCGCCGTACCGCCGCGATTCCCTCGTATAACCTTTCATTCTTTCCTTTTCACCCCGCCCGCCCGCGCCCCCGTCGACATACTGTCTATTCAAATGCGCCGTCTACGCGGCACGTTTCCGCTAACCGTCGACGTGAGGGTGCGCGGCGCAATTTAAGGAATCAATTAAAGTCGTTCTCGCCTAGCGGCCTCGGGACAATATGTCCCGTTTTCTATTCGCCGGGGCGAGATAAATAAGCGCGTTGGTCTGATAACAAACAAGCGCGTATATATGTATGTCCCTCTTCACGGAGTGCAATTGCGCGATCTTTAATCCGAATTCATGACGCGCCGCGAAGAGATTACGAATAGCTGCGAATTAAGCGTCGTCACCTATTGACGCAAGTCATTTTACTTCGTGTCGCACGTAAATGCATTTTTGTTGTGGAAATTGGTGCGAAAGCATGGTTTATAGCGTAATAATATAGTTAATAATATTTAATATCATTTACTGTAACTTGACGATACGCACCATTTGCGAAATTAATTACGCGTATACACGCAATTCCGATTAGTTTCGATCAGATAAAATGCTTTGAATATTCATATCGCGTGTCTCTGTACATTCGCGGGGCCAGATTAGGAAGGGAGAGTGAAAAAGGAAGCGAC